TTTTTTTTTTTTTTTCACGAGATGAGAAATAGAATATAGGATTTGGCAATGCCTTGGAAGAACAGGATACTTTGAAGACATTTGCCTGCTTCTTAGGTCTGCACTAGGACAGCGCACTTGTAGAGCAAGGGGCGGGAGGGGGTAGTTTGCAAGTGACTTCCAACATTCCCATCGGGGAGAAAGAAAGTTGAAAACACCAAGTGTTGTCCCTTTGCAGCTTCTGGGGAACCCGGAAGGTGTGTGCTGCGCCCCTGCTCCTCTGGCCCTCTAGCATTCAAGACTCTGGCCGAGTGTGTGTGTCTCTTTGAGAGGGTGTCTCTCGTGGTGGTGGATTTCAGCGTGCCAGGGACTCTAGTCCGGCATCCCGACAACTTTTGTGCCGCCCTCGCTCTGATTCGTCGCTCACACCCCTGCCCCGCCCTGGGCCGCTGCCCCAGCGCTGACGTCCAGGTGAGCGCTGTGACAGGGAGCTTCGTGGCTGCAGAGAATTCCGCTGGTTTGGGGTGGAAGAAGTGCGCTTTGGGTGATGAAGAATGCACGAAGTTGAGGGGATAGGAAACACTTGCACCGCACCCCCATTCCCTAACAGCAGGAAGCACCCCTTTTGGCCACGGGATGGCAGGAGGGGCTCAGCAGGCCCAGGCACAGAGGCTGTCTTGCTGCCTTCGAAGAGCCCGCCACCGACTTGCAGCAGGAGCAAGCCTAAGCCAGAGCCTCTGAGCCACCGCCGGGGCCTTCCCTGGTCTCCCCCCCCCCGCCCCCCCTTCATCTTCCACAAGGCTGTCCCCATTACTGCCTGCTGGCTTCTTGCAGTGAAGGGCCGCCTGTTTGCCGACCCGGAGAGCTGTCACTTCCCCGAGCGGCAGCAGATCTCGGGGGCGGCTGATACAGTCCCCGAGGCCTGCTCCCAGAGCGCGCTCGGCTTGGCCGCGGGAGTGGGGAAGAGGAGGAAGGGAACGTGGGGGATCGACCCCGAATCACACCAGCTTGGCGTGGGAGGATTCCCCCTTCGGTGGCCGTGTGGGTGTGGTGAATCCCGCGTCCCCGGCTTGGGAGTCGGGGTTGGGGGAACGCGTGTTTCTCAAGGGGAGTGGGAGTGTTGATGAGGAGGAAGAGAGGATCCCCGGGCCTCACGCCGTGGGAGGGCCACGCGGGCCAGGGACGTGTGGGAGGAACTCCCGAGCTGCACATCGTGGTGGGGGTGGATGACAACCTCGCTCTCCTCTCCTCCCCTTCCCTCGGTGGAGAACTGGAGGTGGGTGGGTCCGCCTGGCGTCCCCCGGATCTTCTCCAGTTCTTAGGAAAGGAGGGATTCCCGCCGCCCGCGAGTCCCATCTCCCCCACCCTTGCTGCGGCTCCCGCGAGGTTCTCCCCAACTAACTATACAGGGAGGGACAGCGCCCCCGGGCTCTCGTCCGCCTGCAGCGCGCGGAGAGCCAGTGCGTCGCAGCGGTCCAGGGCTCCCGCCGGAATCCGGGTTTACAGCGACTCCCGCCCCCGGCTGCCTCCCCAGGGGGTCGAGCGGCTGGCCCGGGGGCGTGGGCGTTTGTGTGAGCCCGGCTGGGCGCGGGAGGGGCCCGGGCGGCTGTAGGGAGGGTCGCGGGGCGGCGGGCCAAGCCGGGAAGAGCCATACAAGGAGCGGATCCGGTGACGCGCCGGCCGCGCCCCTTCTCCTTCTCGATTTGGCTGTAGATTCCGGTCCCCGGATTTGCATATTTTGGCATCCAGTGGAAAAGGAAAGAAGAACGGAACCCGCAGCCTTTAAAGGAACCGCACAGGCCGTAGCGTCACCTAGGGAGGCGGTCTTGGGGGGTGGGGGGGAGTGAAAAATTAGCAACTCTGTCCACTGGTCATGGATCCTGCGGTAGGGGATGGGCAGCGATTTGGGAGCTTTGGGTAGCCCCAAATCCCAGTCCTGGCCCCTGTGCCGCGCTTCCTCTTACAAGTGCACCCGACGGTGGCTGGGGGTCCCCGCCGGTTCCTGCCCAGGACTTGGAGGGGACGCCAGATCCAGCGCGCAGGGCGAGCGGCAGGACCGGATATTAACTGCAGTGCCCACGTTCCCCCGCACGAGGCAGCTTAGCCTGCAGGGTTGGGGGAAGGAAGCCAGAGGCTTCTGGGTCACCCAGCGCAACTCTGAAGTCCCTTACCTTGCGTCACTTTCTGCCCCTAATCTCTCCACAGGAAAGGAGAGTAAGGAGCTCGACATCCTAGTCCCAGCGACTGGTATTAGGAAAGTCAGAGGTAATGGGAGCATTTGATGTCCGGGGAACTTTCGAAGGCCAGAGGAAAGGTGGAGAGTGTGTGTACTCACTCCAGAGATGACCTCCAAACACTTTTAGCTTATTTGGACTCGTTGCACCCCAAAAGAAGAGCATGTAACAGGGCTTGCAGGCCTGCCCACTGCAGACTAATCCGACGGTGAGACTGGATATGAATCCTTTGGGATAAGTTGCCTCTTCCCTATTTTTTGCTAGTTCTTGTCACAGAAAGACTTCAGTCCAATTAAGTAGTGTTCCTGCAAGTTTCACAGTAACCTTGGGTACATCTCTGAATTTCTCACCCTCAGTTTTTTGTCTGTAAAAATGGAATGATAATAGTACCCACTCCTTAGGAAGCATTAACTTAGATAAACCTCATACTTATGCCAGACCCTTAGCAAGCACTCAGTAAATGGCAATTATTGTTACACCTAATTCTCCCCATCCACCATGTGCCAGAAAAACCCTGTTCCCCGTGTGTCCAGGAGTGCATTTGGGTGATGGAGGGAGTGCCAGGCGTGGAACTCCAGCCCTCATCAGTGTGATCACATGTTTATCATTTAGGAGGAAAGGAAAGTCCTATTTGTATTCAGGTCCCTGCTGGGGACCACTCCAGTGCAGAGATGGCCAAAAAATGGTCCTTACCCTGTAGGTGCGCAGATAAGGCGGTGAACACAATACTTGGTGGTGACATAAGGCAGGGTACAAAGAAGACACTCAGTTGCTCTTTACCTCTTTTTGGGAAGGCCGCTGTGGCTCCTGGGGTGAAGGGAGGGGGTCTGTGCCCTTCAGTCCTCTGCCAAGGAGGGAAGCATGTTTGGGAAGCCTCCCTCTGCAAGGACAGGTGGGCACTGCCTGGCTCCTTTTCAGGTTGCAGTCCCCAGGGGTGTTCCTTATCACCCCGGAAGGCTGTGACAAAAGACACCAGTCTGAGGCAGGGGGGCAATCCTGTCTGCAGCAGGGGATGGGTGTTCCATTGCTCAGACACTGAGAACATTCTCTGGTCTGCTTGTCAAGTCCTGAATTCAGCATAGAAAATCCACTTTCCTCCCTCCCTTCTCAACAGGGGCTGAGAGTGATTGTCTCAGTTTTATTGGCAGGCTCTGGTGAGATTGCCTAAGGCCTAATTGCCTGAACTCCAAGCCCTGGACTTGTTGGGGAGCGAGTAGGCACTAGTTCAGGGCGGGCATCCTTCCCCTGGAGATGGTGAAAGGCAGGCCTGGCCCCTCCAGTGCATGGCCAAAGCCACCCAACCCCCAACCCCCTCCCCCACAACTGTCTCCCATGGAACCTAGTTAGCCTCGCCAGCTTATGGGAACTGCTGCCACTCCTGCAGGTGGGTATGTTTGTTTCTGTGAAAAGCTAAAAGGAGGAGAAGTGGACCTAGAAATCCACCACAGAAGGAGGCAAGGTTGCTGCTCTGTCTTGTTACTTAGTTCCACCACAATATTTCTGAACTTTCGCGCCCCTTTAGTTAGTTGTTGGCTGCTATCTTACAAGGCCACTCCCCCCCCCCCAGTTAATTTGAACTGAGGCATTAACAATTTAATGCATTGCCCTTCACTGAGATTATTTGCATTTAAAAGCAAATGCTTGGAGAGGGTGATATAGACCCCAAGGGGAGAAGCCCTGTATTTAGCATGATGCCTGGAAAATGATAGGTGCTCAAAGGTGCCTATAGAATAAGGTCTGATTGTGAGGGATGGGACCCAAATAGAAGTTATGGGAGATCTGGGACTATAGAGTGTCCCAGGCTCCTCAAATCACAGCAGGCACCTGTGTGCCAGGCCAACCCCACTGGTACAGCTCATGAATAACAATTCTCTCAAGGACCTCCCATTGCTTTCCATTTGGGGTACCCTTGAGGACATTAACAGGAAGTGGGCAGGTCATCTCCTTGGCCAGTCATCCCTGCCACTCTTCCATGAGGACATTACTGAGTATAGGTGCTTTTTATCTGGAATTTGCAAAAGTGGGTTTGACATACTGAAGGCATTTGACGGTAGTGCTCCTCGTTGGGTCCTTTGGGCATCATGTGAGGACTGTGGGTGCTTCCAGCTTTCAGAGGATGGGGCTAGAGGAACCCTATGAAAGATCTAAGGCATCA